CAGCATCCTCATCCACGGCCATCTACACGCCGGCATCTTCATCCACGGCCATCTACACGCCAACATCTTCATCCACGGCCATCTACATGCCAGCAGCATCAGCATCAGCCACATACACACAGGCATCAAAGAAGTCCTCATCCACATCCATAAGTCACATTTCCTCTGCAGAACCATGTGACTCCCCAGTGAGTAATATTTACATACGCAAATGTATTAACCATAAATGATTATAATTGGAATTAAATTATGGTTGTGTATTATTTTGTAATTACGTTTTCTGTTTTGACATGTTTCAGGTCGAGCTGGAGGGTTGGGTGCGACTGTGGGAAAATCCCAACGGCATCCCACCAGCTGACCTCTCCTGGGTGAAGGACGACCCCGAGCGAGGACTCTTTGGCCCCATTCAGGTGTATCGTGACAACACCGGTGTATTGAAGAGGAGTCGAGCACTAAAATCTGACCGGATGTGGTTTTACCCTCCAGAACCTCCAGGCTACATTAGTGGTCCCCTGCCAACTCCGCATCTCTTTTTTCGAAGTCGCGTTTTTGTGTGGCAGCCTGTTGGAGTATGGAAATACTTACTGAAGTGTCCTCGGGGTGCAGAATGTGTGGGTCAAGGAAAGGCTGTGTACCTTTACAATTCGGGCTACCACACCAGGGTATTATATATTTTTAATTAGATTTGTTAATAGTACAGTTCCTTGCAACGCAACAATTTAATGATTTGTTTTTATGCAAGTACACCTACAGATGAAATCAAACAATGCACTGCTGTTTGTAATAGCATATTAAATATTAATAAATGTTTTTTGATATTGCAGGTTTGTCACATTTGTGATGTATCCAGCTGGTATTGTATGCTGACGGAGGTCCTGTGCTGTGGCCAGTGCACCAAAGCAGCCAGGGGTCGTGGCAGTGGCAAGGTGGGGCATTGGTTGGCATGGGATCCTGCTATCCTGTGCCAACTCAGTGAGGCTCACCAAGCCATGTTCCCTGCTGTCCTCACAGACACGTGAGTACACTGAACATTGGTGTAAACCTAACATGCCTTGAATTAGTTGCACTAGCCACTGTCGTACGGGGGCCGAGAGAGCTCAATGCGCTGCAAATGAAAAAAAAAAAACACATGCAAATTAAGAAAACATCTTCATCAATTTGACAACACATGTGCTGCAAATACTCACAATGGGACAAAATACAGAAATGTGCTGCAAATACTCACAACGTGACAAAATACAGAAACATGCTGCAAATACTCACAACACAATTAAATACAGAAACACGCTGCAAATACTCACAACACTATTAAATACACTCACATACTCACAACCAAATACAAAAACGCACTGCAAATACTCACAACCAGTGCTGGGCAAGTTACTCTGAAAATGTAATCAAATTACTGATTACTCCTTTTAAACAGTAAGTTATCACATTACTGTTCTGATTACTTTATTTCAAAAGTAATTAGTAATTGGTTACGTTATGATACCCGCCCGCAGCAGCACTCGCCCATCTTCTCCCACGCCGCACTCTGTTGCGTCGGGTCTCGCGGGACCAGGTCTCTAATCCACTGGCACTTGACTCGACAGTGCGTGTGCTACATCCTTTTTACAATCTGACTTGACAATCTCTAGATTATAAAACACTGCATTCTGTCAGCAATGTTACGCGGCAGCAACGTATTGAGACCTGTAACTATTCTATAATTACTATTTTGAAAATTATAACGCGTTAAATTACTCCATTACTTAAAGTTATCAAATTACAGTAACGCGTTACTAAGTAATGCGTTACTGCCCAACACTGCTCACAACACAACCAAATACAGAAACGCGCTGCAAGTACTCACAACCAAATACAAAAACGCACTGCAAATACTCGCAACCAAATACAGAAACGCGCTGCAAATACTCACAACCAAATACAGAAACGTGCTGCAAATACTCACAGCCAAATACAGAAATGTGCTGCAAATACTCACAACCAAATACAGAAATGCGCTGCAAATACTCACAACCAAATACAGAAACTCGCTGCAAATACTCACAGCCAAATACAGAAATGTGCTGCAAATACTCACAACCAAATACAGAAACGCGCTGCAAATACTCACAGCCAAATACAGAAACACGCTGCAAATACTCACAACCAAATACAAAAACGCACTGCAAATACTCACAACACAACCAAATACAGAAACGCGCTGCAAATACTCACAACCAAATACAGAAACGCGCTGCAAATACTCACAACATAACCAAATACAGAAATGCGCTGCAAATACCCATAATGCAACAAAATACAGAAACACACTGCAAATACTCACATCCAAATACAAAAACGCACTGCAATTACTCACAACACAACCAAATACAGAGACGTGCTGCAAATACGCACAACACGAACAAATACAGAAACACGCTGCAAATATGCACAGACCACATCGGAAATGTTTAAGGGAACTGCAACAAGTGCCAAACCTGGGACATGCTTATCAATGTCTACTCTGAGATTTTTGCTTATTTTAACATTCTGATCGTATGATTCATTAGCTTTTTTGGATATTATTAGCCTAAATAAACTGATAATATACACAATTACTGTAAATGTGAAACATTATGTAAACGTTAGGTAAGCTGGCTAACTTACTTTTACAACTTCCCTTACAAAAATTAACCATGGTTTTACTATAAGAAATATTAATTTATTTGCCTATTTACTACCATTTGTATAACCACAGTTTTACTACAAATGAATTTGTGGTTACCATGTTTTTTTTATTTTTATAGTAAAACCATGGTTAATTTCCGTAAGGGTTCCGTTGTGGTCTGTGGTCTATTTGCAACGCATTCCTGTATTTGGTTGTGTTGAGAGTATTTGCAGCGCATTTCTGTTTTTGCAGCACGTTTTTGTATTTAGTTGTGTTGCGAGTATTTGCAGCATGTTTTCAAATTTGGTTGTGTTGTATTTGTAGCCCGTTTCTGTTTTTGCTGCGTGTTTTTGTATTTGGTTGTGTTGTGAGTATTTGCAGTGCGTTTCTGTTTTTGCTGCGTGTTTTTGTATTTGGTTGTGTTGTGAGTATTTGCAGTGCGTTTCTGTTTTTGCTGCGTGTTTTTGTATTTGGTTGTGTTGTGAGTATTTGCAGTGCGTTTCTGTTTTTGCTGCGTGTTTTTGTATTTGGTTGTGTTGTGAGTATTTGCAGTGCGTTTCTGTTTTTGCTGTGTGTTTTTGTATTTGGTTGTGTTGCAAGTATTTGCAGCACGTGTGCTGTCAAACTGATGAAGATGCTTTCTTAATTTAATGTTGCTTTTTTCTATTTGCTTTCTCGGCCACCGTACTGCCGGCTTATTAATCATAACACTTTACAGGCGTGGTGTGGACAAAAACGTGGTGTGCCTTCTGCGGAACTGGACTGAAGGGAACACCATGGTGAAGGTGTGGCGACAAATCCAGGAGAATCACTTTGATGAGTATCTCCACAGAAAAGACCTGTACACCACACTCCTCATGACTATTACAAAGCCTGGGGGGATCGTGTCAGCCTTAGGACACAAGTTTGAAGCTCCACCTCCTCCAAGAGAGCTGCCCTCTGCTCGTCTTCTTCGTCATGCCTCCCTGCTGGCAGAGGCCAACAACGTACAGGACTACAGGGACCAGATTCTCTCCACTTTTGGCACAGTGCTAAAAATGGGCTCCACTAAAAAGGTACGTACAAAACAGCGTAATGCATGCCCGATAAATACCATTTATCTTGATATTTTATGTTATTTCAGACCTGTATGACTTTGTTTTTATCAGCTGAACACAAAAGAAGTGCATAGAGTGTATTAGTAGCAAATCTCAGTCTGGAAATATCCGAGTCTCAGACTTTTTCCATTTTGCAGGTGGTGAAGAAGCTGTCTGGAGAGGGTAAAGGCTCAGCTGAGTGGTTTACCAGTATAGGCAATGAGAATACCCATATTGTCTCGTTTGTTCTCACGTGTGAGGAGTCCATCGAGTGCCTGGAGCCCATGTGTCGTGGAGTAATGGACAGGTTCCAGCAGGCCAATCAACCTGTGCCTAAAATCCTGTATGTTGACCGTGGGTGTTGCCGTGCACAAGGCCGAGCTGCCATGGAGACCTTGTTCCTAGATTGGGTAGATAATGGTATGGTCGTGTGTCTGGACATATTTCATTGGATCCATCGTTTTGATGCGGCCATTTGCACTGACAGCCATTCTAAGTATGCGGTGTTCAAGTCTGCCCTAGCAGGAGCGGTGCTGGCATACAATCGCACTGACTTAGAGCTGCTCATCAAAGCCGTCAAAGCAAAGGACCCAGGAACTTTTAACTCTGTCACTGATGAAGATATGGTGCGACTTTATGTGTCAAAAGAACAACTGAAGCACCACGTCCGCAGAGTTACACTTGGGGCTCAGGAGACCTTCCGGCTAGTCCAGATAGCCATCGATGAACTCAAAGGTCCTGCTGGGCTAGACGAAAGCGGAGTCAGCCTCTTCAAGTCACCAGGTATATAATGTGATGTAAACATAGAAAATGTTATACACTGCCGTTCAAAAGTTTGGAATCCGTAAGATTTTTAATGTTTTTTAATGGAGTTAGATTATATTAAAATAGAAAACTGATTTTAAATTGCAATAATATTTTACAAAATATTTTTTTTTCTATATTTTTGATCAAATAGATACAACCTTGATGTGCATAAGAAACTTTAAAAAACATTAAAGATCTTACTGATCCCAAACTTTTGAAGGCAGTGTATATATATTAGGGCTGCACGATTATGACAAAAATCATAATTGTCGATTATTCCCTTGAAATTATAATTGCGATTATAACAATTTTTATTGAGTGATGTTTATACCATTGTTTAAAGAAACGGCATGCTAAATTTTTATATAGTAAATAAACGAGCAGAAAATGTCTCGGGTTAAGCATGTAACCATGGTTCCCTGAGAGGGAACGAGACACTGGGGAATGCAGCCTGCATGACCGGTGTCTGAAGCACGTGTGAAATAACGCCAATCTATTGGTCCACATGGCCCATGACGTCATAGGCAGGGTGCCCGGAAGTAAAAAAAGGACACCTGCTGAATACGTCATCCACTTAGCTGTCTGAAGGAGACATAAACAGACAGGCCGAAGGAATGGCAAGGGGGGGGGCAGCGTCTCGTTCCCTCTTGGGGAACTATGGTTACATGCGTAACCCGAGACGTTCCCCTTCTAGGGAACTCCACACTGTGCCCCCTAGGGGGTACATTGGGGTACGAAATCGAACCAAGCCATGCCGAGGCGCATGCCTGTCCACCTGGTGGGAGAGCACCAAGGAAGCGACATACATACACCAAGCCTTTCCTCAGAAAGGGGCCATGCCACTGACGCCACGGGCTGCTCACGCAACTTGGCAGAAATGGGGGAACCCGGATAAATCAAGGGGAGCATCCCACCCAAGTAGGAACACAGCAGTCCTCAGATAGCTATGCTATGTGAGCAATACTAGCCTGGATACACAAGACCACTTAAGAGGCTAACTAGAAAGCCTCTAGAGGAGCTCAAGAGATCGCCACTTAAATCCCAGGTAATGAGAGTAGCTGCTGAGCTAGAACACGGCTATCCTCAGATAGCTATGTCCTAAAGGTCTTATGAAGGCTTGTAGACCAGAATAACATACACAGCTAGCCTAGATAGCCTTCCTGCAGAGCTGCCCAGACCACAGAGAGTGGGCTATCTGCTTACAACCCTAACAGAGGAGATAGCACTGTCTAGGCAAGCACTCAAGGAGACTGCTACTTAAAGACCCTAAGAAGGGGAGCAGTCACTGAGCTAGCACATAGATATCCTCAGATAGCTATGTACCTAGGAAGGGCTACCAGAAGGGGGACCGACTGAAACTACCCAGACCACAAAGAGTAGGCTGTCTACTTACAACCCAAAGAGGGGAGACAGCACTGTCTAGGTAAGGGCTCAAGAGACTGCTACTTAAAAACCCTAAGCAGGGGAGCAATCACTGAGCTAGCACATAGCTATCCTCAGATAGCTAGGCT